CCAATTTCCCAATATGTAAAAAATAGGAATAATGTTAGTTTATACCTTTGCAAATGACTTTTAGCTATCCTGATGAAAAAACAGTAAAAAGGAGATATCATTACCCAATTTTCCACTGAGTTATACAAACATGTTTCTGTACTGAAATTAATCATTAATGGAAAAGATAATAAGGATTTATATAAAGTGTTCCAACTCTATATACATTATTTTTTAAAAATCAACAAGAAATGGCCTGATCTTGCCCCCACTCAAATCAATAGCAGCCAACATCAACAGTTTTAAAAACTGTTATTTGGGATTCTTTGTCTCTGAAGATCAGGGTTTCCGGATGTTTCCTTTTGTTGTCAGAAATCAGAATTTCCAAATGTTACAAAAAGCCTGTTACATATGAAGTAGCTGGCAAAGTTAGGCTGATGTTGTGCCATGATGGCCCAACACATTATGAGAGGCAAGGATTTCTTAGGGTGATATCTTTTACCAGACCAACTGCATAGTTGGGATAGTTAGACAAGCTGTAAAAAGCAAGACTTTTAGATCAGATCACCTAGGACACCCATCTCCATCCCAACTCTGCACCTGGTCCAGTAAGACAGAAGAATTTGCATACACTTGCATCAACTGTAGCCATGAGAAACAGTGAAAATGACACCAGAAAAACAGCAGGACTGAAAAGAAGGTAGAGAGAAGAGATAATTCCAGCATGAACTGAAAAAAACAAAAATAAAAAGGAGCAAGGTCTTTTGGGGCAAGATTTAGCTTTTTGTTCTTACACACATACCCTCTATCAACCTGTCTTGTGACCGATATGGTTCACTTGACAGTCCAAAACACACCTTTACAGTTACACCATTCTCATTCCCGTTACAATAACTGCATCACGCAGCCACATCCAATACCGTCACATTTACCTGCTACAATCATGCAAGTGACTGCCTCAGCACCCTCCCTTCCCCCTCGCCCAGTTCCCAGCACACTTGGCAGATGCTGTTGCACCTCCTCCCCTCTGCTCTAACCAGCACCTCTTGCCCTACCTTGCTAGCAGTTAGCTAGCTGAGGAAGGGGTGGTGACCTAAAGCCCACAGCAGCCTGGGGTTACAGGCCAAACCAGGCCAGGACTCTTGCTTGGAAAAAAAAACAAACAAACAAACAAAAAAAACTCCCTTGTCCTTGCTTCCCTCTTGAAGGAAGTCTGCAGAGCCCCAGGGCTGGCGGGAACCTCGGCTTTAGGACTGCCGACCCTCCAGGGTCGCCCTGGAGTCTCCAGGAATTCAGTATAAATCTCCAGGAGACACCGAGAGTCCCCCTGCAGATAAATGATGGGGCATTCATTTAAATGAACACTGCATGTTGAATCCCATTTATACAGCAGTCCAATGGGTTTTTAAAATGTAACAGCATTGTGCATTTGCCTTCCTGATGTAGTTATCCATGTCGTTATGTCATGTAATGAAACCTCCCGGAATATTTTCAAACGGAAGTGGCGACCCTGCCCGCCCGGGGGGCCGCTCTGTCCGGCCGCTTCTTCCCATTGCAGCCCCGGGCTTCTCACGGCGGCTTCCGACCCACAAGCACTGCTCCAGCGGCCCCGACGCGGAGCTACCAGGGCACCTGCCTTGCTTGAGCGAGCAGCCAGGGCGGTCTGTAAGACTGCCACAGGTACCGGCGGCGAACCGGTCCCTGAAGCTGCACCGTGACCCCGCCCCCAGCCAACTGCAACGCCCCGCGACTTCCGGTCGAATGCGCACGCGCAGCCCGCATGCGCCTGCGTAGTAACTGCGAGGGGGACCCTTTCTGACGCGCTCGCTGCGACTTCCGGCGTGGTCTGCTCGTGGCGAGCAGCCGGTTTCTCTGCCCGTGGAGCGGACCCCTCCCTCCCCCCCTTCCTTCCTCCGCAGGCCTT